TACTACAAGAACAGTTAAAAGAAGTAGGGAGAGAACGCGAGAAAAAGTGAATAGGAGGCAGAGAGAGGGAAGTGAATGAGAGAGAAAAATTACTACTATAATACTATTCTAGATTTTTGTCGAACAAAGTTCAAAATAATTTTTGCCAACTTCTTTATAACTTATTACAAATTGAAACATTTACAGTATTACTTACGTATATACCTTTTAAATAAGTTCTTAATTTATATTGTTTCCGTTTATTTTAATACATTTTGTTAGTGCGTAGTACACTAGATTATATTGATCAGAGCTGTACGAGAATTAAGTAAAAGTAAATTTCAGATTCCATATGAGAATATGATATTAGAAAACTCTCAGTTATTTTCATATAAAAAAGAACTTTGGTTATTAGGTAATTTGGAACCATGTTTCTTCAATCAGACTCCCTTCATTACGTTATAATCCCTTCTACATTTTTCTACATTGAATCTCCGTTTGTGCCTTTTCAGCTGTGACATGTCTCAATGAGTTTTATAATACGCGCTCTTCTTCTTTCTCTTTTATAAAAAAAGTCCAATTTATTTGATTAACAAAGTTAAATAAATCTGTCTTAAAGTCTGTAAGGACGAACAACTATTACCAGTGTCTAATACCAGTACCTAAAACCGGTTGCCTGGAAGATCACTCTGTGAGGGTGCTTTAAGACCTCAAAGACCACAAATACAGATAATGTAGATGCCTGCCCGCGACCAACATATTTACCTTAATAGACAATGTGGAAACCTTTATCGTATGGTAGCGACGTTTTTGTTTCCAGAATTTCTTCTTGGTAAATTAGCTTTGCAGTCTTTTAAAACATCGTCATTGTTTGCATAGTGCCACACATCTTACCTGTTCTTATTTATTTAACTTACCTGTAATTAATATTGAAGAACGATGTTATCGCACCCAAATCATTTAGGATAGTACAAAAGTGTAGTTTCACATATACTACCAGTAAATCATGAAGATCGAATTAGTATGTATGTAATTCTAGTATTTCTAGTATAACGATCGAGCTTTAATGATCACGGGATCATCTAAGTCTTCAAACGTTTAAAGATAAAATTGTGATGACCTGTTATTACAACAAGAGCGTAAAAATGAGCGTTGTAAACTTTTAACAAAGGAACACAAATGACAAAGCTACATGGAAATGCAATCATTTCAATTTTTATTAGAGCCAATTTATTTTTCCTGCAAAGTTTATTAAGTTTTTTTTTTCAGAGTGTAAAAATGTTGTGTTGAACTTAATGTAAATGATTGAAGTATTTTTTCATTACCTCAACCTTTTAGAATTTCGTTTTTGTCTTGATATTACAAAGACCCACGGCATGCTCAAGGTTATTTTACAAAAAGAATCACAAAAGATGGCGTTTTGAAGAGTTGCCTTTCTCGAAATATTGTCGAAAAAATGACTGCGCAAAAAGAACATCCACACTTCAACATACGTTTCCGTTATTGATTTTTGTTGTTCACATTGTTTGCTGACATTTTCATATAAAACCAGGTACAATGTAAACATCTGGAAAACAGCTATTGATAAACCTTTTATGATTTCGATTTAATATTTTGAGATACATTGCAGATAACAGAACAAAACATCTCAATTTACAAAAAAAAGCTCCGGGAGTACCATGGGCGTCTATCGTGACTGGGCTGTTCTTGGCAATCTTTTCATCGGATTTTTGTCTATGGCGCGCTCGCCCTTTTGTTGCAGCTGATGCTGTCGGTGATAACTTTGGGCGTAAAACGCGTTCTTTCGACGCGAAACCGCGCGCGAATGGAGTTTTAATTATTCGCTGATCAAGAGGGGAAGGCCTCTGGCGAAGAGTTCCAAAGGCGCGGACCTGTGCTGCTTTTGATGGCCGCGTATCGGATTTGTGTCTTGTGGAATTGTGTGCTAACGCTACTTGCAGGGGCTGCGGCTCCGTCTGGGCGCGAATTCTGTGCCGGGAGAGGCGGCAAAGTGAGCGGTTGCCTTCTCGGTCGATCGTTGCCGCTAACTGTGATCGCAGAAGTTCACTGAACTTGACCTGTTGTTAATGGAGTGTGAAGTGTTGTCTGTTAATTTATTTTTTATTAACATAAGCACTTTTCGTTTGCGGGGCGTTCGTTTTCGGAAATGACTACCCGGAAAGGTAAAACTTTTTTCTGTAAGGAAATGTTTTTTCTGTTCGCTATGTGATCAAAACGTTCTAGCGTTAATAAACAAATACACATCTTGTCAACTGTGGATTCTTTAGTAATTATATCAATGGTATCAACTTTGCCAACAATGACTTACTGAGTTGATGTATATTGTGACGTCATGGATACTCTCAGCGACCACAGACACAGAGCTTTCGTATAACAAATATATTTATTAACAAGAAAACAAAACAAATATATACACTTAATAATCTACTTACACCCTAGCTCTGATAGACCTACTATCCCCTGATCGCGGATGCGATCCAAACCCGATTGAAGATGGTTTTGATTGTGGCATTCGCCACTCCTACTTTTGAAGCACGCACAAAGCCTAGCTTCCGTGACCGGATGTCACGCTGGGACACAAAGTCCGTTCTGACGCACCAACGGCTGGTTTGCCTAGATCGCAGGAGCGATCTTATCCGATTGAGAATCGGCGTGAATCGTGGCACTCAACCACTCTTCACCTCGGAGCACGCACACAGCATCGCTCCCCCGTGACCGCAGTCACCCAAGGACCTAAAGTCCGCAGGCTTCGTCAACTAGTGACTCGAGCCTCGCGAGCCTGGCTCGCATATGCACCGTCGTGGCGCCAAGTTTTGTGCACACGCACGAGGTTCTCCCGCTGTCTCCAGAACCCACCCACTGGCTCTGTACACTCTGTTATATAGGCGAGGCTCACGTGACCTACTACGTCACGCCACCCGCTCGCTTGTTATACAGTGAAAAGCTTCTATAAGCCGGAAACTCCCAAAGCCTTGTGTCTCCCGTTTCCGCGTTCTTCCCTTTACGGAAAAACCCTACTTCCTGTGGCTAGGCTAATCCTTTCCCAAGCGTCCCCAAATAGATGCCATGAGGCACGCTGGCTAATACGTTACAATATCTTGCAAGTCGAATGATTCTTCACGGAAATGTGGGGTAGGCCGGAATTAAATATTCAATTTCGATTTGTCGTTCACCCCACAGGAACTCCAACTAGCCTTTTCCTTCTTCAATCCGAACATTACAAATGATTTTTCACTAAAAATGTTAATTCTCTCCTCTGTCTTTTTCGTGCCCGTAAGTGCTATCACCATCTCAGGAATCGAATTTACAATAATAATTGAAAACGTTTACCCCGACCCGAATCTAAAAAGAACTCTTGTTTTCTCATAAAACCTACTCCCTCAAAGGTACAGCGAGTGACTACTGCCAATGAAGAGATGACTACCCTGTAACAGCCACAGATGAACTAGTTAATTCGAACACCTTCAAGAACTGCTGTAACCAAATATTTAATAAATGATGGTTGCATATAAATGCAAAATGCCTGGAAGGCATGATGAAAATCGATGATGACTAGTGAAACTAACAAAAAAGCATTCAACGCTAGACAAATAAAAGCTTTCAAAAAGTTTAATGCTCTAATCAGGTAGTCACTACTATATAAGAATTGGACACTGCAATTCACTCAAGACAATAAATGGATGGGAAATCCTATCCTGAATGTGATGATTGTGAAGTTCTTCTAAATTTATGATCTATCTTAACGTATCGCCTTACATACAAAGCTCAAAAACACCAAGACAGACATGAAAACATCGAAAATGCAAAGGACTACCAAAGAACAATGAATGATTCAGCTAAAAGATATCTACATATACAAGGACATTCAAAGGCAACTGCTTTATTTGGCTTTTTTGTGGTTTTTCTAATTTTACATTTCTCAACATTGATTTCCATACTAATGTTACTACCTCTTTTTATATGAATTGATTTGTAATATTTCTATGTTGAATTGTACACATCTGTAATATGACGTCTGTGTATTTCTGTAAAAGGTATTGAATTGTACAGTCACCTATTACCTTGAAGTTGATGCGAGTATAATTCCAAAAACAAGTATTAATCAGCTGATACAATTTTTCACATTCTCCAGCTAGACACTCCGACAAATGCTCTCTTATTATATTTTCTATGTACAAAATGTATTGAAATTGAATGTTTTCGACAAGTTAGATTGTCATTTATTCACAAATTGTGGACAAAAAAGACTGCAGTGACGAGTTTCTTCAGGATGTGTTTTTTGAGACCTTTTAAAATAGTTCAATATGAAGTAAGAGTATGTATAATATAGTACTAGGAATTTGAGTTAAACATATCCACTAGATATTTAATTAAAAACTGTATCACTATTAAATAACAAATATAATCGTATATTTAGAACCCTACTATACTTTTAACATAAAAACATTAACGTTTTCTTAAATTGTTTCAACATTTGTACTTCCTATTTTAAACTGAATATCATTTGTTATTTCTCTTCTCTCATCTCTTAGATCGAAGGTTCATACTACATACCCTTCAACATTCTTTTTGGCTGTAGATCAGCTTCGTCAGCGAACAGCTCCTGAGAATGGTTATCGCGGCATGAGTTTGTAGGAGAGTTCGTTGATAGTAGCTGCAATGAAGCAATGTAAACATTGGGTTTTAATTCCCGATGTGGACTGGAATGTTTTGCTTATTTTTTGCGCTGGCAGCGCTCAAATGAGAGCTGCATAAATTTGTGATGCTGTGCTCACAATATCGCTCAGTAACTGTGAGAGAAATTTAACAATGCATTGTAATGAGAAACGTAGGAGTATTGTAATAAAAATAATTACTTCATACACCCCATAACCAACTATTGGGCAACTGGTATCAGATATTTGAGTTGCTACCATGCGAATGAATTTAATTGGAAAGGTATTTATTATAAATAGATGCAATTTATATAGAAACATTACATGATATATTTTAATATATTGCAACTTTCTACATAGTAGTACAACATAGCGCAATCATGGATTACTTGCAAAAACAAACAATACAGTGAGCTTGTAAATTAGTGCTTTATAATAGTAAAGAGTGAATCTGAGAAAATAAAAAGTAATAGTGACCTAGATTGTCATATTTCTTTATTACATAAATAAACATAGTTAATTAATATACACAATACAAAACTCTTCTTATGATTAATTTATATGCAATTTAATTATAGTTGAAAACGGTTCTGTAAAAATACTTTTCTTCATGAATATATCAATTCCATTGAATTTAGTTGGCATACAAAGTTGAACATCCTAGTGTATTCTCTCTGTAAATTAAGCTAATTTACACAGATATATTTCGTACAACTTCAAGTACGTTATTCTTTTAATGGGATATCACAAGGTCAAATGATGCTCAAATACAGATCTTATTTGTTTTTCAAATTAGTTGCATAAACGCAAAATGGCATGCTTTTATTAATTCCGCATTTTGCAGAAGAAATTTCTTCCTCAGAGGCAGATGCTAAGGACCCTCTTTCAACCATCGAGATTTATGTCCTCTAATTCCCGCTTTAAGTTGGTCAGGTTATGCCCTTTTGTTTCTTTCTTTAGAGGTCTCAATGGAATTCCTCTCTTATCATGAGGCTCTTTGCAAATGAATGACCTGAAAAAAAAGATATGAAATTCAATTAGTAGACCATATTGTGCGATGAATGTAATGACTGTAAGGTGACAGTTCTTGAAATAATTCTTCAGCAGAATTAATTTTCCAATAGAGTTACCCAGTACAGTCAACAACTATAAATAGAGATACTTGAAACAGAATGTTCACATGCTATATTTTTATAATGTATTTTTGTTCCTGAATCATAAAGATATTACATGATTTAGAAACATTGAAACTGGTTTCTTTGTTGTTATATATATTATAAATTTTATCACAATTATCTTTACCGCTGCGCATTAAATGATGTTTATCACAAAAACACAACACGTTTTGCATTAAATCATTTGTTCGTTGTATGCTTTCACTTGGAAATATAGCAAATCAAAAATATCCAGCTGCAAATATTGCGAATAGGGGAAATAAATTGTCTTTCGAAATATGTTCATTAAACAACTGACAAAGGAAACGAGACGTTTGGCCCATCGATAATGTCTTCGTCTCCAAGCGTCAGTGGAGGTGCGGCTTTTGAACGGTCCAGTATTTCTGAGCTTGAGGGATATTCGGATGCTGATAGTTATCGACCATATTATTGAATCTTTAGAATAATACTGTAATATGGAAAACTCATTCCCGACTGAAGCTGAATGAACAATTTACTGATTTAAAGTCATGAACTTCTTGCAATATAAACCCAGAACTGTGGTTTAACAGTTAACAATGAATGTTCAAAAGCTAATCCAAACAAAATTTACACCAAGTTAGTTTCAAAAAAGAGATAGTCTATTTTCCAAATTATCATTCCTAGAAACATAAAGAAATCAAAAGTAGCATATCTGAGAGACAAAAATGTCAGAGAAACGTTGAAAAAAGTTAATGGAAAGTGTATATATATGTATGTATAATTTTGGTACTACATGCAAGTGTATTCATTAAGTGTACTAATTCAAAATTTTCACAAATTACTTGAGCATGTTGTTCACGTAATTCCTAAATACATATTCCTTTTCTTAAGCTCCTTACACCTTAGAAGGTAAGTTTCCTAATTTTTGGAAGCGTAACAGGTAAATAGTAGGTCAAGACAAAAACATATTTTTATTTGCCAAAATAATCACCTAATTTATTAAAGCATTTGATATATCAAGTAGTGAAAGTGGATTGCGCACCTTGACGATAACGACCTGCTCATTCAGTGACTGCTTATCAGTGTGGAGTATCATTGGTTTTTTGACCATCTACTTCTGATGCTGGAGTAACACGGTGCAGCGATAAATAAGATAATTCGCAAAACATGCTTTTCTTTATCTAGAGCATCATCAGTGAATTTCTGGGCCGGCCAGCTCTGAACCCGTCAGTCACCTGGGAGTCAACATGACTACACACCTACAGGATAGTGACTGTCTGTCTGTCCAGAATTGCACGACCTAGGTGGTTCACTAGTGTCTCTTTGGGTGGACAGCTTCTCGTACCACACGTGATCTTTCTTTAGATTTACAGGTTAAATAACATTGTATCAGTTTCACGTACAGTTCAAGATAGGTTACGATCTTTTCTCGTGAGGAAAATAACGGAGACGATGGTTTTTGTTTATGACCATTTTCCGCGCAATTATATGGCTTCAGACTCTTTGAGTTTACCCGTTCGGGTAAAACGGTATGCGTAAGATTGAAACGACACTTGAACGTGGATGAGGCCCTCGATAGATATACCCGACAAGGCATCTCTTCGCAAAACCCTTACACATACGAACTTGCACCGCACTACTTTCAATAATACTCAAGAGTTCTAAGAAGTTGGAACCTTGGCATTCGTCAGTAACGTTTAAAATATTTTGAAAAACAAATAAAAAGTCTTAATCATTTTGGAATACGATTGTTAACACAAATAACACGACTATCAAGGCATTTATAAAAAAACTGTTCCATAACCTGAAGATTGAGACTTTAAATAGACAATAGTGGTTGTCGATGCCCTTCGTTTAGGTTTCCAGGAATTGATATCTCACAATTATCTAACACTACAAAACTTATATTTACAGATGGTGTTAAGGGCATGGGATTTTTTCTGCATATTACGTATTTAAGATTTAAAATGAGAGATGTCAAGTATTTGAGATTGTATCGATTACTTAAAAAATTAAATATGATCTCAGCAATTTAAAATTTATTAAATAAATTTAAAAACAATGTATCATATTAATTTCATAATAATGTTATTGATTCATTAGTAACTCTTGTAACCGTATGCTTTAATGTATGCTGTTCACTTCTAAACAGCATATAGGCTGCTAACAAACATTTAATTGAAACTTTGTTATTTTAGTGCTTCAACAATTTCTTCCATAGTCCTTAAAACACTTACATTGCTTAAAGACAAGCTAGTACCTGTAAGACTTACTACTAAAGCTTTAAACAATCAGAAAATTCTTGATCATGACATTTATCGCAAACGTTCTCAGGTGTAAAAATGACTCTTGCCGCCGTTATAAATAAACAAAAATAAATTCCTCATTGAATTTGCGCACAATGTTTAGGGAACTTTTCAATTAACAAAATTGTTTCGTTTACATAATAATGATAATGTATATACTGTTTGGACAATAGATGATTTATTTCTCAAATTTCCCTTCTACAAACTTTGTGTCATGCTAAGAAGAATTAAAAGTGTGAAACGACTCCGAAATTATTTTTGATGGTATATTTCCACATTTTCTAAGATATTATTTCACATTTTCGATTACCGCGACTAACACAAGTTTCTTCCTCAATAAAATCAATCAAGCTGAATACGAAAATATTTGAAGTAACGAAGAATCTGCAAAGCTTAGATTGTAAGTAGGATTATGTCCCGGTTGTAAATGTAGATTACCTTAGCGAGTTTTGCCTCTAACTGCACTCATTGGCATGCTAATGAGAATTTGCTGCGTTTAATACTTTAAATGCAGCTTGGAGAATTATAATTTGCTCATTACGAAATCTTCTCTCCAACACGTAATCTCATTTTGTTTCTCTCCCTTTTATTAGTTGAATGATAAATAAAGGTACCAACAAAGCGTTTGAAAACATTTGAAAAATAGAAATTTCTTATTCGGCAAATAGAAAAATTATTTGCGTTGGTACACTAACAATAGATTTGATTTTCTAGAATTATTGACAAGATAATCCTTCCTTCACCCTTCTCCTTGTGCAACCGGAAAAAATTATTATTGAGAAATTTCCTTATTTTAGCACTTTGGGGTAGAGAAATACTCATATGTAGAGATAGAGAACATTATGGGAAAACATTAAGATTATTCGGTATATTCGGTATACACAAACAACGCGGTTCATAATGCAGATTTGAATAGCGTAATTAGGTTTCTGAAATGACAGAGAATAATTTGTTTAATTTGTGACAATTAATGCGACATGTCAACGCAACTCTTTAGTTTAATAAATTACTCATGATTGCCACTGAATTGAACGAAATCATGCCGTCGCAAATTACAAATTATTCAATTACGTCACAAGAAAATAGTTACAAATTATCTATAAATGACAGAAGTTATAAATGGTCTTGGATATTTATTTTCTCTAATTAATAAGTGCATCACTGAATATCGCCGCCCGTAGATTTATGTGTCTCTAGAGAAACTTTTTGGGACTCCCCCCCCCCAACTTTCTCAGTTAATATGATTTTTTTTTAAATTATCCCAAATATTTGATTCAAAAAGTTTTAAAGAAATGACAATTGAATAGAGAAAAAAATAGTGTTTAAGTTATTCCCACGTTGTAAATAAGTTTTTCCCACGGGGCCCCCAAAAGCGCGGCCAACGCGACATTAGTCGGGATTGCCTCCCGTTATGGGCGCTCGTGCCCTAAATCGAAAATATATGCTTATTTTTCGTAAACCACAAATTAACCAAAAACATTCAGCAAATAACTACATATTCATTCATTTCACAATATCCCGTACCTGTGATGAATTTGTAATTTCAGGCTTCTAAGAAAATGTGTTCTCAAATTTTGGTAACATTCAGTTAGTAAAAATACAGTTATACTTTACACTTCGATTAGTATTATTTTAGAGTAAGTTGCGTCTGTCTTTAAATACGAAGTGTTTGTGGGTGTGTATTAAAGATTGTGAATCAAATTAATGGCCTTGCTTTCCAGACATAATCACTTCTTTTGAATGCTGCTGTCATTATTTGACAGTGATGGAAACATTTCTTGTTGACCTAGTAAAATTTGAAGTAAATTACAAAATATAAATTTCATTTATAAATTGCTCACTACAATACAGAAGAAATATTCCCATGAGTTCGTTTTTTCAACAAATTCAGAGTATTTTATAATGAATTCTCATACTAAACTACCCAAAAACAAGTTAATGGAAAATAAGAGTGGAAAACGTAAGAAAAATATCGTACTTATCATGAAATGAACTAAAAGTGCTCCGTTTGGCTCAAGAAACTGTCTACATCAGGAACCATTAGAATGCTGTAGCGAGAGCAAAGAGTTCATTTCTTCAGCAGGACCAACCGGCAAGAGCGAAAAAAACTGCGAAAGGTACAGTTCAACCCAAGAGCCTAAACGTTTTGGGTACCGTCCACACATCAGAAGACTCACTTTTAAACTTCTGAGTAACTGTATATGGGAATATGTAATTTTTTGCACAATAGTTGTATCTTGCAAGTTCTGGTTGTCTCCAGTTCTTTGTGAGTAAAAATAATCGCTTTAAGCTTTTAAATTAAACTCATCCTCCTATGAAGAGCAATAAAATAGTCTACATTAAATTTCAAGAAAAGTCTCAAAAGCCAAAACACGAAGACATTCCTGATCGTTCCACAATGAGATTTTGATTTCCTCGAACCTCCTGAGAACGAACTGCATGATTATTGAACTGCAGTTTCAATTTTCAGAAAAAAAAAACAAAAAACAAAAAAGGAATAAAGAGTGACTTCTTTCCTCTTCACTTGTATATTTTCAATTTTCTGCTGCGCTTACCTGTGTAACAAAAGT